CCGGAAAAGGTTTAGTGTCATTCAAAGGCGCGCCGCCTTCGGTTCGCAAAGCGCGGGCGCGGGGGCCGCCGCCTTCTGGTTGGGCAGCAGCTCGGCGTGACGCGCGCGGCCGAGCGCGGCTTTTGAGGCGGCTGAGGGGGACAGCGTGCGCCCTGCGGGCGGCCCGCGGCGCCCTGGGGCGCTGGTGCCCGAGAGAGTAAAGGACATTCTTGAGGTTTTTGCCCTACTTGGAGTAGTTGACGCCCCGTTAGCGATGAGAGGCTATTGCTGTGGGAGTGTAGCCATGAGTGGGGTGACGCGAGCCTGTGTGAGGGGGCGGTGTGGGGCTGCGTGGCGATGGCGGGCGTTGCCTCACAGGTCTCCTCTGGAGCGGCGGCGGTCAGTGAGGTGTTGGTGAGCCTGCACATGGGGCGCTGCCTTGGTCCCTAGGGCGGCAGGCGGTGAGATGCTCGGCTGTAAAGAGAGCTGTGTGGCCAGGAGGGGCAATGGTGAGGGGTGGGTGCTGGCCTGTCCCTTACCCAGGCAGTCCTGCTCCTTCCACCAAGGCCTGTGCATGTTGAGAGGGTGGTATGTGTGTGCCCTTCTGTTGTTAACTAAAACGTCTTGCGAACTTTTGTTTTGTCTCGCTAAAAACTTTTTATTGAGAATAAATTAGGCCAAGTCTAAAGCTCCCAAGCAAGTCTTAGAAAGTTCTTCTGACTGCTTTTACGGTAACATGATGTTCATAGAGTACTCAGTTTGCTGCAGCACCTGTATTCCTTGATTTCTCGCAGCTGCCTCCCACAATGTGGTTCAGGCAAGGTTGGTATGGCCACAGATAAATCTTGGAACTGTATGAGGAGTGCTTGTCTACTAGATGTGATGATGGCTGATCTCAGGGCAGAGACTGGCTTTCCACTCGTGACACAAACTCAACTGGCTCTGGTTGTGTGTCTTATTGCTACCTGAGGGAGCAGAAGAGTGTGCTTACTAACTTTCATAGGGAAAAACTGAAGCAGCGGAGGTATTCAGTACCTGTGTATGTGTTTCTTCACAACTTTATCCCTTTATTTGGAAACTTAATAGCTATAGGAAGCTTATAAAATTATTAATTTTTGTGAGGAGTATAATATGAAGTATTTAAATGTTGTGCTTAGAACAAGTTTTGCAGTTTCCATCACATTGTCTAAAGCAAAACCTTCCCTTTGATAATGATTTTGGGACAGCAATACATGGTCATACTTCTTGGAGAAGTGATAGTTTTGAGTTGTACAATGCGATGTCCTCTTGGTGGTATCCAAAGGGAACTTTCTTTGTAGCACTATGCCATGGTGCTCACCTGTGGTATGGCCAGGTGTATGGGAGGAAAGCTTATGCTTAAGCTCCTTTGCACAATTCAAAAGAAAAAAAACAATACTTTCTTCTATGTGTTTAGCTAGAGACTTCACAGAGTCTTTTCTTTTAGAAATGCTGACTTTTGCTCCTGAAACCAGACTCTTTTTACATTGTCATCTCTTTTTCTGGACTGAAAAACTAAGCCTGCAGTTGTCTTTGAGAAACTGGACAAAATTTTAACTTTTGTGGGATTTTAAGGAGTGTGAGGGGTTTTTGTTTGCTTTATTCAAGATGGAAGAATAGCAAAGATATGGAAGTTCTAGTACTGGTCTAGAAAAAGTTTAAATTGTCCTTAGCAGTCCTATGGAATACTCCAGAGTAGTCAGTGGTATATACAGAGGTTAGTTTTTGATACCAGTATTGTTCGCCAAGCTACTTTCTTAGACTGTAAAGTATATCAAGTGGTGAAATGAAATTGTGCTAATATAAGTTAATGGACTATCACAACAAAAACTATCCCTTTAATTTCTGACTGTTGAGCTACTTAAAGTTACAGAAATGAATTGGAAAATGGAGAGACATAGTAAGATCTGTTCTCCTATATCAACATGTATAATTTCTTTATCAATTATTTTAACTGGTCTGCCCTGGTAGTTGTCTGAGCTCCTGGCATGTGAAGTATAAGCCTCTCAGTTACTGTTTGTTTTTTGTCTAGAGGCATAAGAAGCTTTTGGTTGAACCAGCTAGGATAAGTTCTCTGTGGCTTTGTTAAAAATGTGTAGCAGAACTGAATGGAGTGAGTATAGAAAAAATACTCTGTGATAGTGTGCTTGGGATAATAAGCAGGGTGAGACACCGGCGGGGTGGGGGGGAGGAATCTGGAAAATGGCTTTGGGATCATGCCATAAGCTGTAACTGAAAACACAAAGTGTTCAGTAACATTAGAATGATTAGGTGTTCAAGCTACCTATGTCGTCTTTATTTACTTTTTTACTATTGTATAATGGGGGTTTTGTTGGCAAAAGCATTTCAGTGTTTGTTTTCTTAAGCTCAAGGATGATTACAGCACCAGCTTAATAAAGATTTTTCTCGAGTTTTTCTATATGAATATTGAAGTTTTATGGGAGAACATTGGTAACCTTAGTGGAACAATTTATTCTCTACAGCTTATGTAATTTTCATTGTATTGTAGATGGTAACTATGTATATAATGTTTTGAATTCTTGCTGGCAGTATCTTAAAGATTACCTTTAAATCTTCATGCTTCTTTACAAATCAATAAGCTTGTACAGAAGAGTTTAAGCTGTTTAAATGGGAGCTAACCCATTGAACTAGGAGTCTATCAACAGGTTTATGTATATTCATGCTGGGAGCTTACTCCTTTATGTTAAATGAACTAAGCTACTAGCTCTGCCATACTATGTGAAATCATGGAATTGCAAAGTGTATGTCATAGTTCAGGATCGAACTGAGGCGTGATACCCTCTCAGGAGGTTATTTGTGGGGTGCATTTCAGTTTTAGCTGAAGATACTTTTCAGATCTCAGTCCAGAAAAAGACAAGATTTTGCCTAATTAATACTAGATATTGAGCAACGATGTGATGTGTTTCTTGCTTGAACAGGCACTTCCTCACTGGTAGAGAATGACCAAGGAGAAAGTCTGTCCAAACAAAATCAATAAATCAAAGTTTAGCCTAGAAAGAGTAGGCTTCTTTTATATAGGAAGACTGGCTTCAGTGTAGTTGCCTTCCCTAATACTAATGCTGTAGAACACTGGGCATGATCATGAAGAAAATCAACTCATAAAGATCACCTCTAAATTACCATTGCCATGAAGATTGTATCCTAGCAGAAGGGAACTCAGCAGTCAGGGGCTGTGCTGTTGCTTCTAAGTCACAAAAAGGAAACTTGTGTCTTTTTGATGTCTGTTAGCTTTCTACCCTTTCAGATAGTGTGGTTTTGGCCACGGAACATGGACTCTGCTCAAAAATTGTGTTTTCTCCATACAATTTTTTTATTCTGTTCCTTCTGTGAAATGTAATGACTTAAGGTTAGGCTTCTGTAGTAATCCCTAAGAGATTTCTAGCAGTATGCAAATCATAACATACTTCAATAAATAAACTGTATTTACATGTACTTAGACTGTTCTAATAACTATGGTTCACGACTGCCCTACAAGTTCTGAAAGTCCTGTGGGGATTCCAGTTCCTCAGTCTTCATTTTGTGGGTTTGTGTTATGTGGCTTCTTTGCATACAGTTCTGGGATGGCTGGGGAAATAACACTTGTATCCAAATACGCATTTATGTTTCAGGCAGAAGCTGAGGAGATGCAAGACCGTGTGATACCAAATTAGGTTCTGTGTGGTGTATTATTGGAGAAGTAGCCACATCACCAGGAGAGTCACAGAGCAGGAGGTGTGATGGAAACTTCTGTATCACTGGAGGTCACCTTAGTTCAGGACCCACGTTTATGTGATGTCTCTGTAGTTAGTGAGTTCACAAATTGTGACATATTCTGCTCTATAAATTAGACTTTTTTCTGACAAGCAACAGTTGTCTTAAAGCAGTCACAGCGGAGGGCTGCTTGTTTGTTGGTTTTTTCCCTGTACTTAATTCACAAACCAAATCTCCTGGAAAGATTTTTGCAGCATTCAAGGACTTGAGAGCTGGAATGTGAACACTTGCTTTTTTTTAATCATGTGTAAATGTGAGTCCTGTAACATCTCTTTAAGATGGTAGCAAAGTGCTTTACTTAATGTGCCTTGTTTCTTTTACTGTGGTGGGTTGGCTGGTGTAAGAACTACAAAATCTGTTGGTTTTGCCGTGTGACATAATTGAAGATAGTATTGTAGTTGATGGAATTAAATTTGCAAGTGTTTCAGATAGAATGGATAGACATAGCAAGCTGTTGATGGGTTAAAAACAGAGCTGTAACTCTAGCACTTAGAACAAACAGTGTATCTATGTGTGTTTTGATGTTCTAGCTGGTCCTGGTGTTCAAAACAGACTGATCTAAGAGACCAAAAAGTGTAGGTTTTTTTAACCCCTTCGGCTTATGCTGAAGGTTTGCTTCTGTTTATTATTTTGGTTGGGTTTTTTCGTGCAGGACAAAAGTGTAAATCCTTGAAACTGGTTTGTTAAACTTAATGTTAACTATTTCTCTTTAAGACAGAAGAGCAGATGCAGTTTTTCACATTTTCATCAAGTGATGGTAACACCCCAGAATGAAATAATGAATTGTAATTGTAATGAAATAATGAAATTAATGAATTGTAATAGTAAAAACACAGTGGGGCTTAGTTTTATGAATTTGTTAGTTAAGTCCTGTGTTTGAGCAGAGCGATAGTTCCTAGCTCTTCTGTAGTAGGAGGTTGTATCACTGGCTCTGCTTATCTCAAATAACATATATTTTAATCTTTTTTAGAAATGGCCCTCTTATTTTTATGCAAGCCGTGGCTGAACGCACTGTACTATGAGAAAATAGAGTACTTCTCATCTCTCTTCCATAGGACCTAGGTAAAGGCTGGTTCAGAAACTGAGGGAAGTCATGTGAAAAGCAGCTCTTTTAACAGGATGAGTGTATTTGGATCTCAACTTTTCTGACACATACTATTGGTAGTTGTTGTAAGCTTATGC